TATATATATATATATATATATATATATATATATATATATATATATATATATATATATATATAAATATATACATATATATATATATATATATATATATATATATATATATATATATATATATATATACATATATATATATATATATATATATATATATATATATATATATATATATACATATATATATATATATATATATATATATATATATATATATATACATATATATATATACATATATATATATATATATATATATATATATATATATATATATATATATATACATATATATATACATATATATATATATATATATATATATATATATATATATATATATATATATATATATATATATATATATATATGTACATATATATATATATATATATATATATATATATATATATATATATATATATATATACATATATGTATATATATATATATATATATATATATATATATATATATATATATATATATATATATATATATAAATATATACATATACCCTGCGTTCAAACTCTCCCCCCCCCCCTCTCTCTCTCTGTCTCCCCCTCTCCCTCCTTCTCTCTCTGTCTCCCAGTCTCCCTCATTCTCTCTCTGTCCCCCAGTCTCCCTCATTCTCTCTCTGTCTCCCCCTCTACCTCCTCCTCTCTCTCTCTCTCCCTCCTTCTCCCTCTCTCCCTCCTTCTCCCTCTCCCTCCTTCTCTCCCTCCTTCTCTCTCTCTCTCTCTCTCTCTTTCCCTCTCCCTCCTCCTCCTCTCTCTCTCTCTCCTTCTCTCTCTCTCTCTCTGCCTCCTTCTCTCTCTCTCTCTCTCTCCCCCTCTCCCTCCTTCTCTCCCTCTCTCTCTCTCCCTCTCCCTCCTTCTCTCTCTCTCTTTCTTCCCCTCTCCCTCCTTCTCTCTCTCTCTCTTTCTCCCCCTCTCCCTCCTTCTCTCTCTCTCTTTCTCCCCATCTCCCTCCTTCTCTCTCTCTCTTTCTCCGCATCTCCCTCCTCTCTCTCTCTCCCTCTCCCTCCTTCTCTCTCTCTCTCTCCCCCTCTCCCTCCTTCTCTCTCTCTCTTTTTTCAGTCTCTCTTCTATTTTCTCTCTCTCCTACTTTCTCTCACTCTCTCTCCTATTTTCTCTCACTCTCTCTCTCTCTCTTTCTTTTATTTTCAGTCTCTTCTATTTTCACTCTCTCTCTCCTATGTTCTCTCACTCTCTCTCTCTATTTTCTCTATCTCTCTCTCCTATTTTCTCTCACTCTCTCTCTCTCATATTTTCTCTATCTCTATCTCCTATTTTCTCTATCTCTCTCTCTCTATTTTCCCTCTCTCCCTCCTTTATATACTTTATTGAAAAACTATTACATCATATTTGGTTTTAATTATTAGACATGTTACAGTCAAAACAAATTTGTTACAGACTAATGGAATTCATTTTAGTGACTCCTATCTTATAGTCTAACCTTATCTCATTGCGCCACGCACTCATGTACTATAACACATAATATACAAACCCATATCATATTTATTAGTGGTCTTTAGCCACACGTGTTTTCCATTTGAAAGACTAAGGACTGAGCTTCCACATCGATGATAGAAATGATGATAGATTCCATAATTTGGACTGTCTGGAGAGAAACTGTCGCTGGTGGTGCGCCGTGCAACAACGAGGTTCCTCCAGTGCAGCGGCCGCTTGTCTTCCTGGCAGTCTCATTGGTTGCAGGTGGCTACGTTTCTACTTTGGTGAAGGCTGTCGAGGTTCAGTTGGTATTGTTGGGTTCTGCCTTCGATCATTCTCTCCGCTCTTTCTTGTATTCTATCCGAGGTTTTTGAGGCCAGTGATGCTTGCTCCTCCCCACACGAGGCAGGGATGAGGAGAGAATTTGTGTTTTGTAGAGGAGCTCCTTTCCTTCACCGTCCAGCAGCCAGCTGATTCTTCTTGGGGATACAAGTTTCTACGAAGAAGCCCTTCTCGCCAAGCTTTCTATGTGACTTTTGAAAGACATTGAGGAAACACAGCAGGAGTCTAACATGCTTCCTCGAGGGACACCTGCTTTAATGAAGTAAGCAGAGAACTACCCTCATTCGTCTGTCGAGTAGATATTTTTTCAAAAGCACCAGGAGTTCATCGTCTACTCCAAATGCTTTTAACTTGCTTAACAAACCTTGGTGCCATACCCGATCAAAGGCTCACTCTATGCCCAGGGAATAGAGGGAGCCTCGCACCGCTATCCGCGGTCAAGCTATATTGACGGGTAGACAGAAGACAGTTTCTGTTGAGCTGATTTGTTCGGTGGGAAGATATTATTTTTTTCAAATATCTTGCTGATGATTGACCAAAGATATTGGCCGGTATTTTTTTGGACTGAATTTGTCCCCCTTTTTAAAGATGGGGGCAACATTACTTTCTTTCCAGTGTAGGCCATTCGCAAGAGCTTAAGCATGTGTTAAAAATTAAAGTGAGAGCAGATGACAGCCCTTTGCGCACCTCTGGAGCGGCCGAGGGTTAACACCGTCACGTCCTGTAGCTTCTCCACTTCTTTCTGGCTTGTTGTATTCCTTAGTTTTTCATTACTCAAGATGGGAAGTGTGGGTATTTTTGGCTCAGGATTAGGAACTGTCATTATACTTGAGAAATATCTTGCCAGTGCATGTTTCTTCGGAGTTAAATGCTAGTGCCCTATCTTATGTTATAAGACAAATAGTTTCATCATTTGCGTTTCCTTGTCTTTGACAATATTCCACCATTATTCGTTCCAACTTTACCCTCTTTTAGTTTTTTTTTGTAGTTTTCTCCCATTGCTGAATTGCCCATTTCTGAGTATGTTCTATTTGTTGATTGCTTGTGTCTGTTGGTAGGATTTCTTTTATACCGGATCCATGTTTAATATTTGATCCCGAGGCACTTTTGAATTGAGGTCCAAAACATGGTTGATCAGAGGGCTTCGATGAGTAGTTAAAATGGGGTTCAAACTGATTTTGTAGCCTCCTTAAAATAGAGGTGAAGGAATTAGCCTTCTGCTCTATATTATCCTGGATTACATCGTCTCATTTTATAGGAGCTTCTCTGAATCCTGTCCAGTTTGCATTTTCCCACTTCCATACCATTCTTGTCCTAGTCTCCTCTCTAAGTGTTCTTACGCTAATCTTTGTTAAGACAGCTTCGTGGTCAGGTGTCCCGACATAACCAAGTGAGACAGACTTTACCGAATGGGAAGGTAGGTCGGTGACAACTGGGTCAAGAGACGATCCAGAGCGATGTGTTGGAAAATCAACAAAGATCTGTAGATCGCGGACCGCCATTAGTTCGTCGCCAACAGACTGTGCTCTGTGCTGGTTTAGGTCTCCAAATAATACAAAATGATAAGCAGTTATAGGTGGTCATAAGCTGATCAAGGTTTTGCATTAAGAAATCTATAAGTAGTGTCCCTTGTAATGGCGGCCGGTAGTATCCACAAAGAATGCCGTGCCCTTTCTTGTCCAACAGTCTGAAGAGTATTAATTCAATGCCGTCTGGTAAGGGAAGATCTATTATCTGCAGCTCTCTCTCTCTCTTTCCCTCATCTTCTCCTTTTCCCTCCCCCCTCTCTCTCACTCTTCATTAATGAAATACAACACAAATACGATACGGTGACTGGGAACGATAATAACCTGGTGGGTGACCAGCCAGCCCCGGGGACCCAGGCGCGGGGAGGTCTTGACGAGGTGGCAGGCGTTCTAAAGGTCGGATAGGGTCAGCCATAACTGACATCTTGGTTCCCGCAGGGGCGCTGGTTTGGGAACCAACGTGAAGCCCACGAGGAGCCCACGTGGGAGCCACGCGGAGCCTAATTTAAGGCCTTTCCAACACCCCTAATACTTTGATACACCCTAATACACGTTTGCCCTTTACACGTACATTATTAGAACCTAATGAAACATCTTTTCATTTGGTATCAAAGTGCATGCTTTCAACTTGCTATGGTTTGATACACTCCGGCCAAGCGCAACATTTTTCAGATATATTTCATGTAGCCTAATACAGAGTTTTATATCATCGTAAGTTTCTTGATATAACTTTTTATTGTAAAGGTGCATAATCTATCTTTTTAGCAGTACATCTAGTACATGTTCACACTAAACAGGCAAGACGTTCGCCGGAACGACATG